TGTATTAAATACATCATCCTTCCCTATTTCCTAAAGGCTGCTGTCCCCTACTCTTGATAACTCTTCAGTTCCCAGGGAGCAGAGACTCTTGGGAAACAGAAAGTAGCTACACACCAGTGAGAAAATCCCCAGATGAATATCAGCAAGAAATCTCTTCAGGCAACAGTTCGTCAAAAGGGGGAAGTTCCCCCACCAACCCTCAAAAACAGGCTCTCAAGAAAGCTTACAAAAGGTTAATTTGGGAAATCCCCTCTGAGCCAACAGAACCGAAATGGAAAGCTGCCTCTGAAGAGAAATCTGAATGAGCAAGCCAATTAGTGGCTGCCTGGGGAGCACTTCGTGTAAAGCCTTACTGCTACTTCTGCCTGGCCTCCCCCTTTTCATCTTGATCTGGAGGGTTATCCTGAGGGGACCCAGTTGCCAGAGCCACTTGACACCCACTCAGCCCAGGCTCCCGACCAAGGGAATTAATGCCTCATCTCCTGGTCTGTTGACATGAGCTGCTGTTAAGCCAGATTCACTTCCCGTTAGGACCTCCTGTGACCTCCCTCCACCCCCACCCCGTCAGGTTGTCAGTTTCCCTGCCTCCGTGCAGCAGCAAGCCCATCAGGTTTTACCGGGTTGTAATCTAAATGTGACCTTAGGGTCACATTTCATAGCTGCTGCTAAGATCCAAGAAGCAGGGAGGAATCCTTCCCATGGGGAAGAATTTTTTTAAAAATCACATAAACTTTGTCCTACGAAGGACTTAGAATAGCATATCCGCTGGTGAGTTGGAGCAGAGAAACTATATAAATGTGGTTGGAAAGGGGCCCCGGGGTCGGGGTAGGGGAGTCCTGGCTCTGCGGATCCTTGATCTGCAGATCAAGGGAGGCACAGTTCACTGCTGAGGCCAGCTCTCTGTGACTCACTCCCAATCACACAGAATTCTTTTTTGGTGTTGTTTTATTTCTTTTATATGTGGGTTAAAATGACCATTTTAGGAAAATAACAAAGAAATTTTGGTACAACAGAAAAGAAAATAGATTCCTTTGTGACAGCTTACATTTCTTTTACTATATACTTACCCAAAATAAGTATCAAGTCTTGGAAGAGTTTTTAAAAGGAGAAAGTACTGAGTCTAAAAATCTTATAAGAGGAGCTGGGGATTTAGCTCAGCGGCAAAAGCGCCTGCCTGGCAAGCGCAAGGTTGTGAGTTCGGTTCCCGATACCGGAGAAAAACCAAAAAAAATAAAAAATAAAAAATAAAAAAAAATAAAAATCTTATAAGAAACTACATTCTACCAGAGTGTGTGCCCTCCCATAGTGAGACCCAACACAGTGTGACTCACAATGCCAGATTCCACTTCCAACTTTTCTGACTCCTAGAAAACACCTTGGCAAAAATACTTTCCTTATGTCTTCAGACAAACATGGTTCTTATTTACTTCAATTCCTGTGGATTTAAGATTATTTTTCCAAAAATTGTAAAGATTTTCTTTCACGTACCTACTTTTCCCTATCATTGGAAAAAGCCAGAAGACTCCACTTGTTTCCATGTCTCCTGGAGATTAGAGTAATCCCTAAATTAATTTTATATACACAAATAATAATTACAATGGTCTTCTGCAGTACTGGGAACGGAATCCTGAGCCTTCACATTAAGCTACATCTCCAGCCCATATTTTTTTTTCTTTTTTGTTTTGAGACAGGGTCCTAGTAAGTTGCTAAATTGCCCAAGCTGGGCTCCAATTTACAATCCTCTTGCCTCAGCCTCCCACAGTGTTGGGATTACAGGCATGAGCCAGCAGGCCCAGCTTTTAAACTACTGAAGTCTTCTATACTTGAAAATTCTAGGTAGATTGATAACATACTCTCAAAGGATATTGTTTCCATTTCTCATCTGGGTACTACATGACATTCAATTTTGAATTTCTAACAAGATCAAGGAATATTTCTGATTTCAGGAAAATTTTTCATCTGCTCTCATCACTGCTGTAGTTATGAATGTGAAATCAATTAAATGAGGACCCACATCAGCAAAAAATATTGCCTTTCTTGTAGGCACAGATGAAAAGGATTCCAACAAGGATCTGAGAGCAATAAATAAACTAATAAAAAAAGGAAAGCATGGAGCAACTTTGATGGAAGTAAGCTGTTTGCCTTTGCCCTGGAAAGTTTATAGTGCTTTAAACAATTGTAAACATGTCAGTATACGTGGATACTGTTTCCATAGCAGCATAGCAACAGTTAGGAGTTTCTCCAAACATATCCAAAAAGAAACTAAAAATAGCTTGTCTTCAATACCAAAATACGTGCATATACATACTCAAGCAACAGTACACAAATTGATGTGTAATTAGAATTTCTTCAGACACTAATCTTTCATAAAATCAAATCAAGTCAGTTTTAAAAACCAGTAAGTCCACTATCTTTAGAAATGAGGTAGAAATCAAGGAGTCCAAGAGGGAAAGGTAGATGCCACATGGAATTCTAAGATCAGAGCCTCTTACATACTGCCTCCATCCATTGCTTGGGCTGTTGCACCTGAAACTTCCCTTGTCCTGAAGGGCTACTGTACCCTATTCACCTTTTACTCCCACCAAACTTGAAATTGAATGTATGATATATACAAATATCTCCATTTACTGCAGTATTCTCTTGTCTTTTTAAATTTTCTAGTTCATTTATTTTATCCTCCCTATGGAGACTGGACAGGACTTGCGTTTTTAAAAATAATGTAAAACCACAAGTCACCCTCTCCCAATGAATCTACTTCAACTGATGTTGAGTGACAGAAATAGTGATTCCAAACTGAAGAAAGACTATCACTACATGTTTTTGGCACTGTTTGTACTTTCTATTTATATCTAAGAATTATAAGTATTTAAAAAACATCACCTACTAAAAAGTATTATTTCTAGAGTATACATAATTTATCATTCAACCTGAGATATTTTTGAGAGTGTAAGGGGATACTTTACAATTACATTGGAGAAGCAAGTGTCAACCAAGACTGTCTGATCAGTCCCAGACAAATGGTCAGATAGCACCTGCAACTGTCTTGAGGGCAGGGGTGATATTTAATGTTTTTGTATCTTTAACATCCCCTGTAATACTTCATGAGCAATTACAGAATTCAGTAGGCGCAAGGTAGATGAAGGGATTTATCATTGGACTGTGTTTTTACAAAACTTTTAAAATATTTTTATATGTAAAACTAAGCTGAACTTAAGGCTTTTTTTAGGTCTGCAATCTCCATGTGAAGTTTAAATAAAATCTCACGCAGCACTAAAGGGTGAATCTTTCTTCTTCGTCATCCAGTCTTCTCCTTAAAAGTAAAAGAGACAAAAATAGAAAAGTAAAATATATCTGTGAGTCATAAAAAAGATAATTCTATCAGTTTGGGATGGCTTATGAAAGCACTAAGAAAGGTTAGAGTATAAATTCAGATAAGAAGCAATTTCATAATGCCTATAATGGTTATTATCATGGTTTCATTTTTCTTTGCCAAGAATGCTGGCCCGTAGGGAGAAATGCAGAACAAATATCAATTGAGTACACTCTGACATGGAAGAATGCTCTTTGTTTTTCATGATGTGGAGTGCAGAAGAGGACTAGCCGTTGGTGAACTCCCGGGAATAAAGATAGGATCATCTTAACTCTCTGCCTGGATCTGCCAGTAGCACAAAGAATGGCCTCTACCAGTCATTATCCCATTTGATGGCCTACAGTTTCTGGTTTATAGCTTGCATCAAAGATTGCTGTGGGAAGTCATCATATATTCAAGGAAGCATTTATCGATCCTCCTATGAAAAGTGCTATCAATCTCCCTGCTCCTCAGTAGAGAGGCAGCAGAGTTTGAGAGGAAGGCCATGTTGCCTGTCCTCATGATCTGAGACCTGGAAGTCTTGCATTTATTTGGGCGGGCAGCCAGGTTTTTCTATAGGAATTCATCCTATTTTATAGGAAGTTGCATAAACTCCCGGGTCCTCAGGGTTTTCACCTTTCAAAGTAGGAAGACAATAATTCTAGAGCTACTAGATTAAAAGAGAGTTAAATGATATTAGTGTAAAATATCTAAAACATGAACATGGGCTACTAACATTGTCCAGTTTTATATTTCCTTGGACATTTGGCAACACTGCTACAGGGAGGAAATTTTGTAATTAAAAGCAATATTATGCTTTCGTGTTGCTAATCCAAATCCAACCAAGTGTTTAACTAAGACCAAAAGGAATCTGCTAAATCTTAGGTGACTTACAAACTAGATCCTACTATCATCCCCCTCCCCAGAATTCAGTTGCTTATTATTATTATTATTATTATTATTATTATTACTTTTTGGAACAGGGTCTCACTCTGCATTTTAGGCTGGTATTATTCTAACAACAAGAAGATTTTGCATTTTGTTATTAGTAGTTTCATTAAGTTTCATCAAACTTAAGTGTGTTTGTCTGTGTTGGGTCCTATCTAACCACTCTAGTTCATGGAAAGTTAGAGGCCTAAACTAAAAGAGTGATATCGCTTTTGCTAATATTTAATTTAGAGATTAGGAAAGTTTCAGAGAAGTGAATTTTTATACAGATTATGTAAAACTCCATATTTAATGAATTGCTGATGGGGATGGGGTAATAGGCTCTTTGTAAATATCAAATCATGTTGTTATCTACAGAGAGTGTGCCAGGTGGTTAAATAGAGCCAAATTCTCTTTAGTTTGATAATTACTGAATTTGACATTTATAGAGGTTCTTTTATAATTCTGGGAATAAGAAGTCCACAAACTCATTAAATTATGAAGTGTTTCACCCCTATTATCCTAATACAATTACCCCACAGACTACACTGCCACAGGAAGTCTTTGAGACAACTCCTGATGTTTAGAAAGCTGGAATAACAGGGATTCAATTCCCATAAATGCCATCACAGTGCAGTTTTTAAAAATGAAATTGAACATTAATCCTCCTAATCTAGAGTACGGTTAAGAATTCTAAGGATGTTATTACTCACAGCGTCTTTTGTCCAGTAAATCTACCCTAGCATTCGAAGTGAAGAATGGCAAAGAAAATAAAATCTAAACCCATTTAAGAATATGTGGGTGGTAGTGGCTCCCCTTAGCTTGTAGGAAGTCATAGGTCCAATCCCTGGCACTGAAAAAAGAAAAGAAAAGAAAGGAATATTGGACAGTAGATTTAGCCACAACCTCTGTTTCTTTTGAGTAATAATAGCAATAACGTATGTACCTACCACTATTTCTATTTATTGCTTGACCACATAAAGTAAATCTATTTTTCACATGACAGGAATTTCCAGTGTAACATTTATTATTCAATTTAAGAAACTATAAAGGCTTAAATAGAGTCTAGATTTACTTAGCACCCTGATTTCCATAAGACCCGCCTGAAATGTCCATGTGCTAGTAAGGTCCACAGATGTGGGGTAGAAGTTTGTAGGTTGGAAACAGAGCAAGTCCTTTGGCAAAGCATTATCAGAGAACAAGAAATATACATGGTCTCAAAATATCACCTCCCAGGTACTTCTTACTTACAAGGGAGAGAAAAATACACAATGGAGAAATCCAGCAGATATCTCCTCATTTAAAACATTGCTAATAATGGGAAAACTGTCATTACAGGAGGCCATCACATACCAAAAGCAGACATCATTAGTGATTCTCAGCAAGGTTCCCGTGATCCTAGGGCATGGCTTCAGAGTCTTCCTTGAGATGGATGGCATCATCCTAGAGAGGAATTTGAGAAACCAAACATGGAACTGATGCTATCCCACTGTGGCCTGTAGGTAATGGATGCGCCATCAAACGATGCTTGCTTTTGCAGTAATGGGGACCTCCCAGACATCTCCCAGATGGGTCTGAGGTTCCTCAGTAGGGGAAAAATAGAAGATCCCGGGGCCTAGCAGATAGGACAGTCAAGATGGCAGTACTGCCTGAGGGGAAAATAAATCATATATGTGTGGGTAGATGTATTTGAACCAAAAGAAGGAAAAATAAAAATCAACTGTTACCAATTAGACAGGGCTGCCAGGTGAGAAGCAACCTATGTGTTATCCAAGAGATTACTTATGGTAATTGAGGTTTCACTTCCGGGGTCACCTGGCTGATTTAGGGTCACAGCCCCAGATTCTACAGAAAGAAAATTTGTTGCAAGAAGGGCAAATTCTACCCAGTTGACTCTGACTTCAAAATTGTCCTTCAGAATTAAAATATATTCATTTGAATATTCCTAATGGTGACAATTATGCTTCTTTAAGATTGAAATTGTGCTTAAATGTAACCTTGCCCACCTGACAAACTAGTTTCTTCTTACTCTTTCACTAGCCTGGTCCCTCTTCTGTTTTCTTCATACTACTTATCCCAGTATGCAAGCACTTTGTTAATTTATTTGTCTGCCTGTGTCATGGAGACAGTTTGGGTTGGTCTTTCTTATTATAACATCAGCTTCAACAAAGCAAGACTGTTCCTGACTTAGGCTTTTCAAAATCCCCAACCTCTAACACAGATCCTGGCACATCGGGCTACTCAGGGAATATTTATTGGAAAAACCCAATGGATTAATGACTAAGTGAGTAGATTTGATTCTTTTTAAAATCCAAGGTTACTTGGAATTAAGTCCAAGAAGGATAAAAAAGTAATTAACCTGTGTCATAACTAAAAATTGAAGTAAAACACTAAGTATTTCATGTTAAATGGTTCACAGGCCCTAACCTTGGTTCTAGGGGCCATCTAAGAGTTGCACAGTGCTTTGAGCAATGGTGTCTTTACTAGGATAAATATATGCCTCCTAATATAATTCCTGGGATGATAATACTAATTTGAACATATAAATTGTGTTACTTTTTTAGTTGTACTTTTTTATGTGGTTTCAGTGAAGTTTTATTTATTTATTTATTTTTAAGTTCTATCATTGTTAAAAGTCAGTTTTATGCATTACCTCAGAGTCCTACATATCTCAAATATCTTCCATAATGCACAGAGAGGAACGTTCTAACTATAACCCTTACTTTAGAAAAACCCACCCGATTGTCAGCTGAACCCCACAAACAAAGTGTTCTTTCAGAGATGAGGGAGCCACAGCTGAATGGCAGATCAGATGCACCCAGGCTGCCATAGCTATAATGACGTCATTAGAAACACAAGAGTCTTTGCTGAGAAAATAGATCAATATTTAGTTTCTTATATCCCTACTGGGCATTCCATCACTATTATGGCTTCATGTTCTGCCACTTCCCTCATTTCTAACTCCAGTTTGTCCTCTGGGAAAATAGAAAGGTTGGTCTAGGAATAATAGTAATATAAATGTAAAAACACTTTTAACAAAATACAATAATTTTTCCATCATTTGCCTGTGGTTTGTTAGCAGCAAGATTTGGTGTTTAAAAAATAAATTTTTGGCCGCTATATATAAAACATTTCAATGCTTTTCTTATATGAAGCAGAAGGACTTTACTCTTTATTAACTACCCTTGAGGCTAAGGGAAAGGCAAAAATATTGCCTAATTATCTTTATGTCTGTTTTTATTCTCTAAAGTCTACAATATCAAGCACTGCACAGGCTGATTCTTGGTCTTGTCCACTGTATACACTTTACATACTGCTGCCCAGTTTCCAGCTCACACTGTACAACAACTTGCTAATTTACTCTTTATAGAAAATAGTTATTTCCAATGGACAATTATTAACTAGAGAATAAAAAGGTCCTTATAACTGAGACAGCCACTAAGTGACTGAGCGGGTAGTTTGTATAGCATATGTACACTGGCCAACAGAATGATTTATGTTTCAGGTGGAACAGAATGGGACAGCTCAAGATGTCACCACATTACTCAGAATGGTATGTAATTTAAAACTTATATATTGTTTATTTCTAGAATTTTCCATCTAATATCTTCAGACTATAGTTGACCACAGGTAACTGAAACCACAGAAAGCAAAACTGCAGATACTGGGGTGGGGGGGACTAATGTAATAGCCAAAAACTATCACTAGGGTAAAAATGGAAGTAATGTGTCAAATGGAATATAGTAATGAAAGACCAATATTACCCAGTGAGAGACCACAGCCAGAGTATGATGTGACAGAACTGTTTTTTAAAATATTTCTTAAACAGCTGGTAGCACACAGCACAGACTATGACAGGACTTACCCTTCCATATTTCTGTGATGAAGAACCCAGGAATGGCAGAGCTAAAGGTTGCATCCTAATGCCTTCTGCAATTTACACACCACCCATGACATTTTTTTATTCTCTAGTTTGTCAATAATTTTTTGTTTTGTTTTGTTTTTACTGGGAATCAAACTCAGGACCTTATGGTTGCTAGGTAGGCACTTGTGCCACTGACCTATATCCCCAGCCCAAACTAGTTTGTCAATAATTAACTGTCCATTGGAAAAAAACTATTATCTATAAACTTACCTTTATTTTTAATCAATCTGCATACTTCTTATATCTCTATCCTGTGATATTTCATGAGGGAGGACAGAACAGGCTTGATTATTCTGGGGTTGCAGGAACATAGGAACCTTTATAGAATCACCTCTACCTTCAGGCCTCAACTCACCTCTTCAGAGTCTGCCAAGAACTTTGACAGGAGAAGTCCAACACTCAATAAAGCAAAAGGGTGGTCCACTGGCTTAATGATTTGTTCTTCAGTAATACAGTCTACTAAACAATGTAATTTTTTCCCACTTATATAATAATTCAATGCTAGTATTTCTTGGGTGTAGGCAGCTTTCTTCATCATTCAAAGACCCAGTTTATTTCCATCTTGTGGTTGGGGAAGATAAAATGAAGAAGCCTCACTCACTTTTTAAACATTTGACCTAGAAGAGATACAAACCTGTTTCATCATATTTTATTGGTGACCACTTGGGTGTAAGGAGTTGAGGAGGTAGGACGTGCTGAAAAATTAACTTCTGCCTTGGAAGCCACATCTCAGCAACAATCCCATTATGGAAAGAGGAGAATTTTTGGCGCTCCATTAGCCATAGCTGCCCTACAAATTTCAAACTTACTATTCTGGGTGTGCTTAAGGTTTATTTCTAGACCCACTTACCCTGAAATAGAGTAGCCAAATCATATTTAAGACCTTGTGATTTGGGGTTTATTTTGTTCCTGCTGTTTTGCTATGTGCATTTAATATAGATTCTACTGAATCAAATATAGGCATCAGGTACTTGAAAAAGGGCCTCATTCCTCATCTAAGGAAATCTTCTAACCCATCTATCATGTTCCAAAGACCAAGTGTACAATTTCATTTCTTGGTAGGTCAGAAGGAAAAAATTAGTAATGATTTTCACATTTTGCCTGTTAATTTTCCATTTCCAATTTGGAGTTGCACAACCACTTAACACAGTTGTGTTTGTTTCCAAACCCTTGAATTTGTACATGCAATAGCCGAATAGCTTAACTGCCCAAGGGAAAAGAATAATTGGTCTTCCACAAGCACAGATTTATGAAAAGAAAGAGGAAATTCCCAAAACTATGTTTGCAAATATAGAGTAAAATTGAAAATTGACTTCAGTGATCATAAATGGCTAGTTAGGGGCTGGGGATTTAGCTCAGCGGCAAAGTGCCTGCCTGGCAAGCACAAGGTTGTGAGTTCAGTTCCCGGTACCAGAAAAAAAACAAAAAAAAACCAACAACAACAAAAAAAAAATGGCTAGTTAGATCATAAATGGCTTATCACCAAATCTAACTTCCACCCACTTCCTAGCATGGGCCCTCTATTTCTATCTTCTCTAAATCTTCTGATGGTGGCCCAAAGGGTATTGGCCAATAGCGTGCTTGTAGCATAGCCCCAGACTCCCAGAGAACTTTGTTTTTATCTAGTAGCACAGTTACATTTTAGTAGTTTGCATACTATTAGAGCATCTCTCCTTGTAGATAATTAACCACTTGAGAGCAAAATCTACATTATATTTATCTATTTCCCACAACACTTGTGCAGCACATAATCAATATTAACATTTGATTTTTTATTTAAATTAAGTCAAGTTACGGATGAACCTGAGGCTGAATCCAGGTGATGCTTCCATGAAGTTAGCTACAGGATGCCCACACTGCATTTGCTGACTCAGGTAGATGCAGGCTCTTAATTCCATTCATTTCTGTTTCCTTTTCACTAAAGATGTTGATGTCACTCAATCTTGCTTCCACAGTTTCATGTGCTAGAAGAGGAACTCAGAAAGGAAAGGGAAATCTTGGCCTGCCCTCATCCTTAGCTTCCTTTTTTCCTTTCTTGGTTTCCATGTTGGTCACATGGCAGCTGTTGGAAGTGAGAACTCTGAGGTTCCTGAAAATGTAAGGAAACACACCTGAGCCTCCTGTGTGGTCTCTCCTTACCCTTACTTACATTCAGAGATCAAATGATCATCCTGCTCCTTTCAGTTCTTCATGATGTGGTAGGGGAAAAAACATGTAGACTGGAATCTGACAACTCAGATTTGAGATCTGGCTCTTCGCTTTTTCATCTGACTGACCCTGGATGAGTTAGTTCACCCCTTTGGATCTCATTCCCCATTACAGAGAATGAAGTCTCAGTTAGGGTACTTCTAATGTCTTTCCCAGGCCTGGAGGTAGGACACATTAGTATGGCAGGTGACAGCCATTCTAACAAAGCCACCGTCTCCAGTCTACTAGAGATCTGGCTTTCAACCCAAGCATCTGCCATCTGTCTTCTTGAATCTTGGCTGCCAACCCGTTACCTGGACTACATATAAAA